GGGCGGTTTCCTTCTCGCCTGCAGAAGAGGGCTGAGGGAGCTGTCAAACATCTGGAGCTGATGGTTGTAGCAGGTCCAGATGTTTACTTGTACCACAGAGAGGACACGGAGCGATATATCCTTGCCAACCTGAACATCGTGAGTAGCTTTCTGTTTGGATTGCTGTCCCAGTGTGAGAGCTCACAGTGTCACAGGCTGTGTCACGGCAGACCAGCCTCTGCGAGTGCACTTTCAGGGGTGTTTGTGGTTACCTGCTTCTAGTACAGAGCATTGCTTATGTGCAGGGCATTCCTCTCTGCTTCTCCTGGCACTGCATGGCAAGCTTTCCCTTGTACAAGGAGAAGTGGATGTTAGAAGCTTTGGAGTTACAGCCTTAAAGCCAATGTAGAAAATGTAGCTCTTCATTTCATTACTAATACTGTTGTATGTCAGATACAGTAGCAGGAATTTTATCACCGGAGCCTTGATCCAATCCCTGCTGCTTTCAGAGAGATTGAACAAGATCCACTGAATTAATCTTACATTTTGCTTTTCAACATTTTATTTCTATTACAGGATTTCTCTAAATGTCTGCCATTGCTATTATTATGAATTTGTTTATGCATTTTCTATGTGTATATATTGCAAAAAAGTCTTTAGCATTCGCTCTGCTACGCTGTGAAACTGTTTTCTGTGCGAATTTTTCTTTCTGCTTCGGAGCATCTGACAAGACTAATAACAGTTATCATCTGTTGACAGATTTATTTACATTCCTAGTGCGCACTTTAATGTTGTACTTCTCGGTGATTTTAGAGTTGCCCCTTGTGGTTACCAGGTGTGTTACCTTTGTAGTGAATGCAGCCCTGTTCCTGGGAACAGGCAGTGGGAGTCACCGAGGTGCTGCCTTTATTGAATCCTTTCTGTCTCTTAACAGGGGGCAGAGCTGCTGAGAGATGCCTCGCTGGGTGCTCATTTCAGGGTTCATCTTATGCAAATACTTGTTTTGAGAGAACCAGAGGTGAGCAGGGAGGAGGACTGTGTTCAAGCATTGTCCAAAGGGTTGCTAAAAGCTGTATGAAATGTGCAAACATGTGCCTTCACTCTAGGCAGAGGTAAACATCACAACAAATATCACCTCCTCGCTGATCAGCGTTTGTGAGTGGAGCAAGAAGGTCAACCCTCAGAATGACTCTGACCCCCAGCATGCTGACATTGTCCTCTACGTCACCAGGTACTGAAGCTGCCCTGCCCTGGGAGGGGACTGGAGACAGGGCTGAGCATGTCCAGCTATTAGCGCAGTGACACTGATTGGCACTGGGTCTTCCAGCAGTTGGGCATCACAGAGCCTTTGGAAATGGGTTGGTTCGCCTGTTTGGGGTTGATTCTCCTGCCCTTCGTGTAACGCAGTTGGTCAGAGGTGCTGTTTCTTCAGTTTCTGAAGGAACTGGGGTGTTCCCAAGCGCTGACCAGCCAGGCTTGAGCAGACATTGTGTGCTTCCAGAGCAGCACAGCCAAACCCACTGCAGCTTTTTGTGGGCTGAAAACTCAAATGGTAACTGGAAGTGAAAACCTACTGGTGTTTTCTATGGAAGATTTCTAGTGCTACTCTGACTCAGACATTTTGTTTGACTTTCAGGCTCCTTGCTCTGAATTGCCTTGGTTAAATTTGTTGAAGGCAAACTTTTCTTGAGTGTAATGGCTTTGTTTTGGTGCTCTTTCTTCAATGAGATGATGATACTGCTCTGTCTTTTGCAAACAGCATTAGATCATTTTATGCTGTTCTGCTTGTCTGGGCTCATGGGGATTTTTTAATGTAGAATCACCACAAATTTTGAACACTGGGCGTTTGTGGGACCTACTGCTACCATCTTGCCCCAGAGAGCTCCATGTGTCAAAAGAAATGTTAGGTAGCTGGCCATGTTAGATCAGGAAGGTGCCAATAAATTCAGTTCAATGTTGAGACCTGACTTGATTAGCTGCACTGGTTCTTTGCTCTTTCCTC